CTGCAAAAGAACTAATTCTTTCTTGTCCTTTGTTTTTCCTGGCTTGAGAGCCATGGAGGAAAAGTTTTTCTTGAGAGCATTGGAGGAAAAGTTTTTCTTGTTTACGATTATGGCAATTTATTTTTAAATGTATTGGCAATGCTTGAGATATATTCATGTGCTAAAAATAAAAATTAAAATAATTTAGACAAAAAAAAAATTTAAAAAAAGTAAATTTAATTAGATTTTTGTCAATTTTATTAACAATTATCAAATTGATCCTGGAAAATCAATAACCTGCCTTATTGTAGTTTTTTCCTTCTACAAGACATACACCATTAAGTTTTTGTCCAGCGACGTATCCAGGCCAATTTTGGTACCGTTATACCAGTATGGGCCCCCAAATTTCAGCCCAAATTCAATTTAAAACAATTTTATATTAGCATTTGTTATGATATTAATGTCGCTTAGAAAAACCAACTTTTGAAAAACGACTTTTATAAATGTATTTTAAGCCAACCAGAATGCTTAATTCGAATTCACGTTGATGAAATATAAAATATGTTGTAATTAGATTTAATGTAAAACGCACGTTTTGGTTAGATTAAAATATGAAACGATTAGCATTTTTAAATAACATTTTAAAAATACATTAATTTGAGTTTCTCTTCGGCTTACATTTTCATAACATAATTTTCAAAGCGATTAAACTATATAAGCTTTAAACTTTTTCATTTCAAATAACAGTAAAATTGTATTAAAAATACCTTAAATAATAAAACAAATAAAAGTTTTTAAACCATAATAACATTTTAATATTCGCGCCAAAAAACTTGATTTGATAAGTAAGAGTAGAACTAGAAAAAAAAGTTATTAATTTTTGAATGAAGTAATTAAATTTTCGAATGAATTTACCTTGTTATGCAATAAATACGCTATGTAATAAATCTTATCAAGTCTATACAAAAGAGTCATACAAATATTGTTTATTAAAAATTATAGTTATTGCTTGTTTATGAAATCATACTCCTTTATGTTTCTAGTTATTAATATTTAACATTTTTAATTTAATAATTTAATATAATAATTTTATATTTAGTATTAATTATAATTTATAATTAGTAAGCGAATAGAGCAAGTAAATGAAAAGTAGCGTTTAACGACGAATCGATGTTGGAGTTAAAGCCGTCGTTTTGTAATAAATGTCCTCTAAGGTCCTCTAAGGCAGACACGATTTTTAGACCGGTATGCCCAAAAATTTACTGGATATGTCACTGGCATTTTATAAGGGTTTCAAAACTGCTATTAGGCATATTTGGTTTCAGGGCCATTTCATACGGTGTTCTAATCATCTTTAAATATGCATTACAGGTGTTTTGTATTGTAGTTAAAGAGTTTCCTATATAAAGGATGAGGAGACAACCATTTCCATTTTCTTCTGTAGGGTTTACATTACCAATTTAATACCACTAGTTTAGGAATACGTCCTTTAAGATTACGGTCAACTTTTATTAAAATTTGATAAGTTAAGATTATAATTTAAAAGTTCTAAAGAATCTGTTAGAGTTTGATAAGAATTGCACATAAAGTGAAACTATTAAATAATCTCAGAATAAATATTTGATATAAGCTTTTAAGTGAAATTTAGTGTAAAGTATTTCCGGGTTTAAAAAATTCAAAAGAAGCTTATAAATTTATTTTTACCTGATGTTTTGTTACCACACTAGTTCCCTCTGTAAATGCTTTCAAAGAATCAATCACTGCTCTGTTAACGGAAAGTTCCTACTAATATAGCTACTTTGTTACTTGCACAAACCTTACACCAAATTTGAACAACTAATCCGTTTTCTTTCGTGCATCCTATAATATTTTCTTTCCCCCTCGTAAGAAAAATTTTTAAGTTTGAATTTTTAAACAATCATTCAAACAATCTAAGTTGCTACTTTATTTATAAGGGTTTCCATAATATTATAAAAACATTTGCAAATATAAAAAACTGAAGTTTTTAATCCAAATGTAACTAAAAGTTTGATTTAAATAATCTTAGTGTTTTCGTTTTTTAGGTTTTATTTTTGTTGTTTAAATGTTTTTTTTTTTGGTTTTTAGTGAATTTCTTTTTATTTTCTCTTACATTTAGTCTAGATAAGCTTTTTTTAGTGCATTTTTAAAGTTCAAATTATCAAAACAGCTGTGTCAATTCGTCAAAACAAAGTGTTATTTGCTGTCATATATAAAAATATGCAATCACATGCCTTCCTGACCAAGAAATATATATATATATATATATATATATATATATATATATATATATATATATATATATATATATATATATATATATATTTATATATATTTTAAAAATAGTCTCCTGCTCTTAAATAAATGTGTTCTATATAATACATTATTTTAAATTTTCAAGTTTTTTTAAAAGAATAAATTATTTAAAAAAAAACTTAATAATATTGACTTTTTTTATTATCACCTTAAAAACAATAGTTTTTAGGCAATTATATCTAAAAAATATATTTTTATTAATATATAAATTGATCATTATTTTTAAAGTTTTTATATAATTTCGCTTCTTTTAAGTACCAGATTTAAGTACACATACTTTAAAAAAACTTTTATTTTATATGCTGATTGCCAAAAATTGGTAACAAATTTAAAAATAAAATAAAAAACTTCAATTTTAAAATTTTTTAATAAACTTCATTGCAAACCTTCTCCTGAGCACTAATAATTAAAACGTTTAATGGAAAAATATATTGAAAAATGATTAAAAAAATAATTGAAAAAAGGTGGAAAAAAATAATTGAAAAAATGTAGAAAAAAACCATAAACCCTCTTCTAATTCTTTAACTGAAAATAATAAAGCCAATATTAACTAAAATAAAAAAAAGCTTCTAAAACTCATAAAACTCATTTTTTGTTTTAAGTTGTCATAACTTGGAAAAAATTGATTTGAAAATTTTTGCAAAGGTTATCAGGAATTAGACTGATTTTACTTTGATAATACTACCACCAACAGATTTAAACATAGCAATCCTGAAGCTGTTCATCATGCCAGATTTATGGGTAAAAGTTTATTTTACCTAAATCTGTTTCTACTCATTGAAAAAATTTGTGAAATCGATGAAGAAAGCAGGGATGAAATCACAGAAATGACAAAGTTCCTTTCTATTTTTTACACTGAATGGTTTCTTAGAGCGGAGCTAAGATCAGCTGCTCCGACGCAGGTACACCATCTGAATAATTGTTTGAAAATAAATATATAGGTTTTAAATAAATACATAAAGTCGGTATATTATTTTTTTAACTTAAACATTGATAAATTTAAGTTTTAACTATTAGGATATCAAAGCATACTGGCAGATAAAAAGATTTGAGAAATTGAATTAAGCTGGGGCTCAAGCTGTTTCTAAATCCATACTGCAACTAAGGTACCAAGTATGTCTTCTAAATACATCCTTGATACCTTGATTCATATTTAGTTAATATAAAAAATGCAGATCAGAAATGTAAAGAATGTAGCGACATGGCTAAGTGACTTAATGGTCTGAAACAAGTGTCCTATGTCCAGGTGTTGGACAAAAACACTAATGAGCCTAAACATTTCACAGGCTAAGATTCCCAGTTTATTTCCAATTATTACAGAGAAGTCATGGCTTGTGTTAACATGATTGGTAATGGAAAAGCTGAGATTCAATGGATGAAGCTTACTCCAGAGTATTAAATTTATGTATATCTATGTATAATATATATATATATATATATATATATATATATATATATATATATATATATATATATATATATATATATATATATATATATATATATATATATATATATATATATGTATATATATTATACATCATTTTTTTAATTGTTCTGGTTTATCAGAAAGGACAAGAGATGCTTCATTCTTACGTCAAATTTATGTCATATTTATTTACTTTGCATACTTCTGTCAAATTTATCACTTTCGTATGAGCAGAGTCACTTACAGTTTTTATGGGGAAGGGTGTGATAAAATTAAAAATTCAATCCAGTGCCCAAATAGAATAAAAATGTTGATACCCTAATAAAAATTTCTCATGACTAAAATAAAACTATAATATGTAAAAAAACTGACAAGATGGCACTTGCCCTGCTACCTTTATGTGCATCCATGCATACTGGTACATACATAAAGCTTGGTGTCTATTTTAAGCTCTGTGTTAATTAAGTTAATAACAATTTGTATACCACAATATCTCTTAGCAAATATTTCATAATGCTCATCAATATACTATAATACATCTGTTAGTATACTTATTGTGTTGAGACCCATATTTGAACTAATTCAAATAAAAGCATAAAATCAATATGTAATTGAAATAAACTTGACTGATAATAACTTGAATAATAATGAAAATATAATCACATAGTGATATTGGGTTTGTTCTCATTTTTATTTAACAAAAAAAATCTAAATAATTACAGTACAAAGTTTTATAAAAGTTTTAAGTTCATCCATAATTAACCATTTCAACGTTCATCCATAATTATCCATTCAACGGTATCTAAAAAAATTCTTTTACACAATTTAAAATTATTTTTTTTTCATAATAGGTTTGCAATACAAATTAAATATAAAATCATGTCAAACTCTTGCATGGGTCAGATCTTATCAACTTACCTAATCATTTGTTTTTGCAATCAAATTAACTCTGATTTAACTCCTGATCAATCATTTGTAACTCTAATTGATTAAGTATTTTTGGACAGAAAAATTGAAAGATAGATATTTTATTTAATAGAGCTCTGATTTTTGCAAAATTTGCACACAAGTTAACACTTAACCATTGTCTAATTAGTTTTCAATATATTATTAACGGTTTTTATGTCTTATAATAACTTGATCTCATTCTAATGAGTGTTTTTTTTTAAATTTTATTCTTGTAATGAGAAGTAACATCTCATGGTAAAAACAATAAATGTAACACAGTTTTAAAGTTTCATTTTAATTTCTAATTTAGATTCATTATGCTTTTCAAGATGATAAATATTTATACATGGCTATGGATTATATGCCAGGTTAGTTGATTTTTTTTGTTTATACATGGCTATGGATTATATCCCGGGTTAGTTGATTTTTTCTTTGTTTAAACATGGCTATGGATTATATGTCAAGTTAATTGACTTTATCTTTTTTTGATGAAGGAAAAAAGAATTTAAACATTTTACTTTTTTTTTTTTAAAGGTGGAGATTTTGTTAGTCTGTTGTCTAATTATGATATTCCTGAAGATTGGGCTGCATTTTACATAGCAGAATTAGTGTTAGCTATTGATGCTCTTCATAAGTATGGCTATGTTCACAGGTATTTATAATGATATGCTAATTATTTTTTTAATACAATTTTAAAATCTTTTTTTAAAAAGTTTATATTTTTACATAATCTATAACTTTTTTGTTGTTGTAGTTTACACTTTCTTTAATGATTTTCCATAGAAAAAAAGTTTTTTATATTGGTTTTCTTTTTTTTTTTTTTTTTTAAGTCAACTTAAATAAGTTAACTCATTGTTAGACATCCAAATCACTAATCACTATGGCTTCTATTGCTAAAGTCCCTTATCAATTAAACTACGGTTTATGATCAACATTCCTATCATAGTGTCATAACTCTCTTTGGTTCTCTCTGAACTATTTAATAAGTGCTTGACTTAATAGTTTTCCTGCTCATGGAAGCATTATTTTTATTGCTCGATTAGTCGACTCTCTGTTATTAGTATAGTCTTTAATCAACAAATTTTTAACATCTCATCTTGAGCAATAACTTACCTTCTGACAATCAATATGGTTTTCGATCTTCTTGTTCGACAACTGACTTGCTAACTTTCTAACAGAGGCAAGCAAGGCAAGAACTATTGGCATATCAAAAGCTTTGGATAAAGTTTGACATGCTGGTCTTCTTCATAAGCTTGCTTCATATGGTGTATTTGGAGAATATTTTTTAATAAAAAATATTAAATGTTAAATATTAAAAAAATAAATATTAAAAAAATATTAAATATTAAAAAAATAGTAAATAATAAAAAAATAATAAATATTGAATTTTTTAATAAAGAATATTAAAATAAAAGTTTTTGAGAAAAAAAAACAATAAAAGCAAACAAAAAACTCTTAAATAATTTTATAAATAATCAAAATATTAAAAAAATATTAAATATTAAAAAAATAGTAAATAATAAAAAAATAATAAATATTGAATTTTTTAATAAAGAATATTAAAATAAAAGTTTTTGAGAAAAAAAAAACAATAAAAGCAAACAAAAAACTCTTAAATAATTTTATAAATAATCAAAATATTAAAAAAATATTAAATATTAAAAAAATATTAAATATTAAAAAAATATTAAATATTAAAAAAATATTAAATATTAAAAAAATATTAAATATTAAAAAAATATTAAATATTAAAAAAATATTAAATAGTATAGAAACATTAAATATTGAATTTTTTAATAAAGAAAATTAAAATAAAAGTTTTTGAGAAAGAAAAAAAACAATAAAAGCAAACAAAAAACACTTAAATAATTTTATAAATAATCAAAATTATTATTTTTCTTTTATTGTTAATCTTTCCCTGGTTTTATGCTAACTAAATTTCATATTAGGAAAATAAACTATTCTTCGATTAATTATTTAAAATTTGCTAATTGAGTCTAAAGTAATCTCTGCAATACAAATTAAAATATAAAATCATGTCAAACTCTTGCATGGTTCAGATCTTATTAACTTAGCCAATCAGATCTTATTAACTTAGCCAATCATTTTTTTTTGCAAACAAGTTAACTCTGATTCTTTTAGTTTAAAATTAGTTTTCAATCTTCATGTCTTATTATAACTTTATCTCATTTTCAATCTAATCTTCATGTCTTATTATAACTTTATCTCATTTTCAATCTAATCTTCATGTCTTATTATAACTTTATCTCATTCTACTGCTTATTTGCTAACAATATTAATTTGATAAATAACAAAGTTTTATTGTATATTAGAAACAGTGAGACAAAGTAGAGTGATTTTCACATCAAAGTCTATGAACAAGATCTGTTGGTTCTCTCTTTAAACTCTCTTGATGTGTCATCAATTTTTTTTAATTGCTGAATCTCTCTGAATTTTTAGTTATTAGGGACTGTGTAAATTCATCTCAAGATCGTACTTGATGGACAACATTCTTCTTCATTTCCAGTAACCTCAGGGGTACTACAAGTTTCCATGTTTGATCCTATATATTACAACTAATGTGTCTTTATTACTGATGTTGTAACTATACACTCCTGTCTTGATGATAAGTCATTACTCTTTTATTGTTTAGAACAGGCTCTTAATTTTGAATAAGATCTCCTCTCTGTTGTTGCTTGGTCTTCAGTGTTGTAGTCTGCAGTGGCTTTTTACTTATGTCACATAAATTTTAGTTCAAGTCAGTTATTTTCAATTAATCATTATTGCAATAACCTTGATATTTCTATATCTATAAATGGCAGCATACTGATTCTCCTATTTTGCATCTTCTTGGTTTTTTATTTACTATTGAAAGCCATATATTAATTCCACTGCAAAATTAGCAAAGATTTTTTATCTTAATTATATTTATTGCATATGCAATATTACTGCTACTAATAAACTGTTGTTTCTTGTTCTTGTTAAATTTATTTCTGTACAGTAGGGTGGATTGAAAAACAGATTTTTTTAAAAATTGTTTTTTAATAGCTCTAAGTATATGCGATACAATAAAATATCACTGGATTAATAAAAAATTTTGAAAAAAATATATTTTTAGAGGTGCCCCAAGTCCCTTGAACATTTATAGGGTCCCTAATATTCTGGAAAAAAAGATTCTTCAAAAATAGGTCAACCTGGTATTCAAAAGAAGTGAAATTTTATAAAAAGTTTAAAAATAATGTTTTATAAAAAAACATATCGCAAAAATATATATTATCGAAAAATTTGCAAAAATGCACTTTTTTTATTTTTAGTTAAAAAACCATAGTTAATATCTAATAAAATCCAAAATAATTTTTATATGAAATAAATATTATTTTTGAACTTTTTTATAAAATTTCGCTTCTTTTGAGTACCAGGTTACCTACTTTTGTGAAACTTTTTTTTCAAAAATATTAGGGACTGTAAATTCAATTGACTTGGAGCACCTCTCAAAATATTTTTCCTTACAAAATTTTTTTAAATCCAGTAATAATTTATTATATCGCATATATTTAGAACTACTACAAGACAGTTTTGAAAAATTTCTGTTTTTTAATGCACCCTACTGTACAGTGTATCATTTTGTTTAAATTTTTTCTAACTTTTTTTTTTTAACTAAATTTTTTATTCAACTATTTTTTTTTCCTACAAACATCACCACTTTCCTTATCATGTTTTCCTGATTTAAATAATTTCCAAGTTTGTTATTCTCTTTTTTGCTCTTCAACCAACTTCCTTTCTTCAACCAACTTCCTTTCTTCAACCAACTTCCTTTCTTCAACCAACTTCCTTTCTTCAACCAACTTCCTTTCTTCAACCAACTTCCTTTCTTCAACCAACTTCCTTTCTTCAACCAACTTCCTTTCTTCAACCAACTTCCTTTCTTCAACCAACTTCCTTTCTTCAACCAACTTCCTTTCTTCAACCAACTTCCTTTCTTCAACCAACTTCCTTTCTTCAACCAACTTCCTTTCTTCAACCAACTTCCTTTCTCTTCAACCAACTTCCTTTCTTTCTTACTAACTCCTAACTAAAACAATGTCTGATTGCAGCTTTGTTATGAGTGAATTTGTATAAAAAATGTTAAACCTAAAGGTTGTTTTAATTGTTGATAAAATGTATTGAAATGTTTCAAGCAGAGTTCTTTTTCAATATTATAAATATTTTTTACTAATGTCACATCCTCATAATGTCATTATATTTCTAAACAATAATAGGGTATTTAAACACCAAACTCAATTATTTTATTGATTGTTTGACTTTTTATTTTTATCTGTGAAAACATCAAAGTTACATCCTTTTGTTATTATCTGTCAGCAGTTGAATTATTTAAAAGTTGTAATGCTTGACCATAATAGTTGCATGCTCCATAATCATTGCATGTTCCATAATTGTTGCATGCTCCATAATCGTAGCATGCTCTATAATCGTTGCATGGCTTAACCATGTCTGTTTTGATTATGTAGCTAGTTAGTCATTTTAAACATTTTTACTAAAATCCATTAAGAAGCAATTTTTATATTATTAGAGTATGGATTTTGATTATTCATTTTTTATTTGTTTTATGGTTCACATAGTTTTTTTTACCCAATGTTATAGTTAGGCATTTCTTTTTATCTAACTCTAATATTCTTTCTCTGGTTGAAAGTTTTTGATAAAAAAGGTTAAACAGTTCAATTTGCAATTTAAGAATGTTTACTCTAGAGACATAAAACCAGACAACATGCTGTTAGATAAAAATGGTCATTTAAAATTAGCAGATTTTGGTACGTGTATACGGATGGATAAAGATGGTTTAGTACACTCTGACACTGCTGTTGGCACTACTGATTACCTTTCGCCTGAGGTTTTTTTTGGTGTTATTTTTTTTAAATTAGTTACTTTGTCACTATTTTAACAGTTTAGTTTCATTTTTGAGAAATTTATATTAGTTTTAAATCTTTTCAGGTTTTACTTACTGAACGTCATGGTCATGGTGTTTATGGACGTGAATGTGATTACTGGGCTGTTGGTGTAGTTTTATATGAACTTCTTGTTGGTATGTTTTAAATTAATTTACATTATTGTTATCACCACTTTTTTATTTTACATTAAAAATCATATAGTTATTAAAAAGTACTATAAAATGACTTAAAACTGATTCCCCATTCATACTAACAATGAAATATTTGTTTAAATATGAGTTTAATTGTTATTGTAAAAACCTTTATATAACAACAATTCAATACAAAGAAGTTGTTTTGTTTATTTAAAAAGCCTGTGTAACTTTTTTCTTTAAAAAAAAGTCACTTTCGAAGCCTGTAAATTTTTCAAAAGTTCTCTCTAATATTTGTATACCAGCTCTTGGGATTGAGGTCGGCATTCAGCAATGTTGACCTAACTGCTGACCTAAAAAAAAGAAGGGTAAGTTTAATAAAGAATTATGAATTAAAAGTTTTATTGAGTGTATTGTCTGAATAACCCCAGGAAAAACAAGGAGAAACTGACAACAAGCTAGAATCAGAGACACAAATCAAAGAAAGTAAATGATTAGGATTGTCGAAATAAGTTTAGAAAATCAAAGAAAGTAAATGATTAGGATTGTCTAGAATGTTCTGAGAAACATTGTTGACCCTATAAATAATTCTGTCTATGAGCACAGAGCCAGCAACTGAATACTGGCTTTAGTAAATGACCGGGTTTGATATTTGACCGTGGCCAGGGCCAGGTTTGATAAAATTGAGCCAGTGCTGGGTTTGTGACTGGGGCTGCATAAACATTTATACATCTTAAAGTACTAGCTGGGGTTGGGGCCCCGGTCATTTACTAACTGGCTTTAGTTTGTGTCTTTCTATTTATAATGCTTTTTTTAGTATTTTTCTAATACCCCTACCCCTCAGAGCCTATTATCTCCCCCTCCCCCTCCCCTTATCTACTAATTTTTTAGAGAGAAGGGTAAATGTTGTTCAGCTGTTTTCATGTATTAAAAATTCAGACCCTCCCATTATGTATGCATGCATGTATGTATGTATGTATGTATGTATGTATGTATGTATGTATGTATGTATGTACGTACGTATGTATGTATGTATGTACAAAATATTTTTATTTTTTTATAAAAAAGAAACATTAAAAAAGTCTATTTAAAAAAAAATTAAAAATTAAATATTTTTTAGGTGATCCACCTTTTCTTGATCAATCCTATTCTGGTACATATGGTAAGTATTTCTTCTGTAATTTCATGTAATAAAAATTTATCCAATTGTTAAAACTTTAATAAGAACACTTTTTTTAAAGCAATTTCTGATTCTAAAATTGCAATATGAAAAAGGCAGAAAGAATTAAACCAAGACTTTTTTTATATATATTTTAAATTAAATATATTTTTATATAAATTTTAAATTATATATATGTTTAATTAAAAAAAAACAGACAATAATATTAAAATATTTCCATTTGAAAAGGGTTCAATTAATTATAATAGCGCATCAGAAAATTTCTAGAACATTTAGGGGGCAAAACAAAAATTTTTATTTATTACCTAACTTCACAAGTTTTTCACAAAGTTCTGATGAAAAAGTTAAACATTAACCAAAAAAAAGCAAAAATCTGTACTTTTGTGATGCAATACCAAATTTATTTAGAGCACTTAATCCATAAAAAAACAACCATAAAACAAACTTTAAACCTTCTACTTTTAAAATAAAGTCTAAGTTGATACAAGATTCTAAAAAATAAGGTAACAAAACTCATCCTTATGACACCTACGCTAAGCACGCTGTGAAAAAGTAGGTCACAGATTTTTACTTTAAAATCGGTGCCGTAAAAGCCAAATACGCACATACCTATATATATATATATATATATATATATATATATATATATATATATATATATATATATATATATATATATATATATATATATATATATTATATATATATATATATATATATATATATACACACATACACACAAATGGACAGAAAAAACATTAGAAAAAAGAATTATAACCTAAAAAATCTTTTTTTTTTAATTTTTGTTAAAAACATAATTTGCTATGCAGAAAAAAATATTTTTTTATTTTTATTTTTATTTTATTTTGAATGATTTTTTAGAAAAAATCTTGAATCATAAAAATTCTCTTCAATTTCCAACTGACATTGAAATAAAGAGTGATTGCAAAAAAGTTATATGTGGATTTTTAACAACAAGGTTTTTTTTCATTTTTTTGTACATTCATAATTGTTTTGTTTAAATTGTTTTTATGGCAAAATTTATGCAGTTTCTCATAAAACCAAATAGAGTTACTTGATTGTAATAAGATTTAATTTAAAAAAGCCCTTTCCTTAAAATTTAAACTATACATATATATATATATATATATATATATATATATATATATATATATATATATATATATATATATATATATATATATATATATATATATATATATATATATATATATATATATATATATATATATATATATATATATGTAGGAAATATATAATATGTATATTATATAGTTTTAAGGAAAGTCCTGCAAAATAACTAATTTGTCCTGGGTTTCCACAATATTCCATAATATAATTCAAAAATAAACATTTTGTCCTAGGTTTCCACAGATCCTAAAAAACCTGAAATGTGACTTGAAAAATTCAGGAAAAGCCTTAAAATAACCAGGAAGGTTATTTTAAGGCTTAAATCATAAAAACTTTTAGATTCTCTAAAAGTTTCTATGTTTTTCATAGTAACTCATGGAACTGATCTAAATAAACAAAATATTTTTTTAATTTATTAACTTTTTTTTAATTTTTTACTATAAATTGTTGCAATATCTAGTCCAATTAAGCTGTGTGTCTTAATTGGACTGTGAAAAGATCACCTCAGTTAGTTAAACTGTGTAGTCAAAGTTTTAATTAATTTTTACCATTATAGTGTTAGATGTATGTTTCCTTGTAAGAATCTAGCTACTATTTGAGTTTAAAACCACCCAGTTCTACTAGTTCCTGATATTTTATGTGGTTTTTGACATTTTTGTATAGTTGATGTTTTACATTATTTATGAAATTTGACATAGTTTTTAATATTATATGTAGTTCCTGGCGTTTTATGAGGTTCTTGGTATTTCATATAGTTCCTAATAGTTTTTGTTTTGTTTTCAATATCTTAGTTATTATTATTTAGTTCTTGATGTTACACCAAGGACTGCATTCCTAGTGTTTTGTACTGATTTCTGATGTTTTATATAGTTTCTGTTGTTTCATGTCAGATAAGAAGCATATTTTTTAAAAACAACTTTAATTCTAACAAGATTGAAGAAAAAGATGAAAATTAAAAGTTAGTGAAGAAAAAGGATGAAAATTATAAAGTAGGATTAACAGATGATGATGAAAAAGATAGCAAATTATATGAATCAGAATAAAATGATAAAGGAACCCCTCTCCCCCCCAACCAGTCTCACAACCTTATCCCCTTTCATGCACAATTTCTGTCAGGTGCCAAAGTAACACCTCCTACCACTACATCAATTGTGAATTTTTTCCCATCTACCCGTATTCATATTTTAAAAAAATTCTCACTCAAACATATTTTTATGACGACCCTTCCTGTTTTTTAAATTATGTATTTTATAAATCCTTACTAAATTTGGGTCAACAACTTGCAGGTAATATCATTATAATTTAAAATGTTGCATTAACATACAATTCTATTGAAATAAGAACCTATCAAATACCAACTAACAAAAACTTTTTCATACTAAACTATACTTTTATACTAAATGCTAAACTATAGTGGCAGTTACAAGATTTGATCTAAAATAATTTCAAATAATACAAACAAAACATTTATAAACAAACTTTACAATTCTTTAGAATTCTTCAATAAATTAAGGTAACTTGCAGGTAACACATTACAAATAAATGAACCAATAAAAAACACAACTCTTACACGGTGCTTAAAACTTCTAAATTTTGGCACCAACCATCAACTGTATAATTTAAATAAAATAAGGCTGATTAATAAGAAATATATATAACTGACAGTTATTGCTAGGCATAAAGCTTTAGGCAACATCAATCAGTTGTATTTTTTCTGGAAAAAGTGTTGTTTATATTATAATTGATATCATGAAAAATCTATATTTAAAAATATGTTTACATATAAAAACATCACAACAGCAATTTTACAAAACTATGCTAGCAGTTTGTACTTTACTAAGACAAGCATATGTTTTTAAAATAATACTATAAAATTATGTTTGTCTAAGTAAATTACAAACTGCCATCATAGTTTTATTATATTACTGTTGTGATGTATATGTATATCTTTTTTATATTGATATATATTTTTTATATTTTATTAATATATAAATAAAATATATCTATATAAAATATGTATATATATGTTTAGATGTACATACATAAAAGCAGCATTATCGCAAAACTATGCTAGCAGTTTATAATTCAATAAGCCAAGCATATGTTTTTATAATGTTACAAAAAGAGAAAACAAAGTATTGTTTACTTTTTGCAAATTCATAAAACTGCAGATAAAGCAACAAATTATCTTCATTGAAGATAATTGTTGCTTTATTGCATAATAGCATAAAGTAATTAAATCATTATAAATGGGTAAGAGCTTAACAAGTTTATCCAATTTCGAGCTTTTGATGTTTGTTTCTGAACAGAAATTTTGCTTAAGATAAATGCAGGTTTTCTTTATACAGAAAACATAAAGAAATTACTTCATAGAACAACATCTTGCAAATTTCATTTAATAAAACTACATCATTTTGCTCTAAAACCATTCGTACATAATAACAAATGTCAGACATCATAAATAGGGCACTTAATAAACGTTACATATGCTAACTGCAAAACACTTATGTAATTTATCGCCTTATTTATCTAATTATTTCAAGTTGCACAATTTACTTCCAGACTTTTTATCCAAGCTAGATCAGATTAGGTGGATTGACCACTTAGTTCCATAGTACTTTAGGCATAATTTTAGTTTCGTTAGTTAAGGTGTCTAATTTTTCAATCAATTTGGTTTCAAAGAAAGATTGAAAGTAAGAGTTAATCCAAGAGTTAAAGGGTAGATAACTCATCAAGTACATTACCGTTCATAAATATAGGAAGATTTAAATTATTACAATAACATTTAGCTGAGTTTTATCAGCCACTGAGAGCCCTATACTGTAGCAGAAGTGAGATCCTTTTCAAGCTCAAATGCTCTCTCCAAGCAATCAGAGGGTGTTGGCATCTTATCAGGACAAGAATAAATAGTAGTATCATCAATGAATAATGCTACCTTAGTTGTGAGAATTTCTGGGAGATTGTTAATGTAAATTTAAAAAATTGTAGGGCCAATGATAGAACCTCAAGGAACTATCAAAGGCTTAATATCAAGATAATAAATATCAAGAGCGATAGCCCCAACCTCTCCACGTCTATCAAATGCATGATAAAACCTATCGGTTATTACCATTAAAGGGATCTCCAAGTGCCAAGACAAGTTTTGTTTATATTAAAGAAAATGTTGAAAAAAAAAACATTTGGGTTGATTTTTTTGATTAAAACTAAATAATGAATGCACACCATTAATTTTAAAATTTACGTTTTAGTCAAAGCTCGTTGTCTCCTTTTTTTTTTTTTTTCTCGGAGTCTGTATAATGCTAGCCGCAATCTGCAGGCTTGATAGTTTATTCCGTATGTGTTTAATTCATAACAGTTTCGATATATGACATCATCACAATATCTATTTAGGATTTTTTTGTTGTTGTCTTTTTAAAGATATAAGTATATTCTCTACTACAATCAGAAAATCAAACATTTGTATAATTTTTTACTAAATCGCAAAAAATATTTGTGATTTATTAAAAAATTATACAAATATATATATATATTTATATTTATATATATATTTTTTTACTTGCTTTATTATTACTTTGTTTTAGAAGCCAGCCAAAATCATGACACAATTATACATATTTTGTGATAATTAGAGTTCGCAGGCAGAGAAAAAATAAAGGCAGTATGATGCAGTTTCTCGTTTTATATTTAGTTCATATGGTTTAATAGAGTTGTTCGTTTTATGTTTAATTTACATTTAGTTATGGTTTCACTTTTTCACTACCGCAAGCCTCTGGTAGCGGCTTTCGAGTATGCTTTACAATTTATCTTGTTTTGTACATAAATTTCGATTCTAGACACATATAATTTGTTTGTTCTAAAAGTTTAATTAATTCTCTACATAATCAAAAAAAAAAAAAAAATGCTATATTGTGTAATTATAAAAGTTATCACTTTGACAAAGTTAAAAAATCTTGAATAATTCTTTATAGAAAAAACTTCTTTAAATTTAGTTAAAAATATAAAATAAAACAGCATAAACATTGTAAAACTTGTAGAAGTGTTTGAAGTATTTAGTTAAGTCTTTACCAAAGTCTTTTGAATAAAAAATATTCTTTCTATTCATTAAATGAGTTTTGTTTCAGACTTAATGTTTTAGTTACAATTTATAAAAAAAAGTTTTAGTTACAGTTTATAAAAAAAAAGGTTTTAAGCACTTTGCATTTCTTATTGTTTAACGATGCGTGTTAAAAACTTATTTATTTAAAAAAGTACATTTGTTTAGCTTTCTATTGATATACAGTTAGTTATGCTTTTAAAGAGATTTACTATTCGAATTTTAATTAGTTGTCAATATTATGCCATTCAAATATTATTCAAAAAAATGTGCGGTTGCTACAAAAAGATTTTCGTTCGGCTGGTAGTGAATGAGTTAATGTATTCTTTGTTTTTATATTTATATTATTTGTATTATTATTTTTTGTATATTTTAGTACAAATATTTGTTTAAACTTTAATTTAGTTTGATTTGTACGGTTATTAGTAAAATAATTAGTTTAGTATTTATTTTCTACTTAGTTCAGTTTATACGTTTTTTTCAAGTCGCTGGTTTTTTATTCAGTTTATATTTTAAATTAATTTATATGCTTTAGTAAAATTATTCTTTTAGTATCTATTTAGATTTAATTAAATCCAGTACATTTTACTGCAAATATTCGTTATATAGTAAATTTTTATTTTTATAAATTTTATAAATTTAATTTTTAATTGCATCTTTTCTTTTCAAACAAACTTTACTTTGGGATTTAGTAAAAAGTTCATCAATTAAAATGGTTTGGTTATTGTGGCAAA